GAGGTGCACACAGAGAAGTGAGTGTTGAAAACAGTTTGTCTAATTATTAGAAAAACATTTTCTAAAGAAACTTTTACAAAGACCTGTGCTTCCGTTGTGTCTCAGTGGCATTCAGTTTGGTGAGATGACCTTTTGCAAAGACGAAAAAATAACCTCAAAAATAGCTGCTGACACCTGTTAGAATGTCAGACTGCATGTAACTGGGCTTCCCCACCGCTTACTGTTCTTAATGTTTCCTTTTTAAAATCACGCTTACAGTTGTTCTTACTGAACATTATGGTTTATTAAAAAAAACTTCCTTTCTCCAGAAAACAATATTTTCAGCAGATTTTAAACAGCTCCAATTGTGTTAAAAAGATTTTGTCTAAAAAAAACATGTTCATTTAAAAAGATTTATTTCAAAGTCTAAAATCTTTGTGTTATTTAAATATTAATGTGTTTGGAGTGTTATTTTCTTACAGACATGCAGCGGGAGTGTGTCTTAATAATGCTGTAAAAATATTAAAGACAAAATACTGCAGCCTATTTTTATCCCCCAAATTCTAACAAAGACGTGTTTGACTGAATAGCCCTGCTCTATAACAACTCTTTAAAGAAACCAGGATAATATGAGTTWCAGCATTTAATTTCCTTTGGGATTAATAAAGTATTACTGAATTGAAGTGAATAAATATAGTATCTTCTAAATTTAATTCTACCAGGCGTTTTAATCCCCTTGAATTAAACAATAATTTTAGTGAAGAAACTTGTCAGTTTGGTTAAAAAAAAAACAATACAAGTAAATATTTTTTTCTGTGCAAAGAAATTTTTGTGCTATATATTTTTTAAAATATATATCAAAGCTCCTCAGATGAAAACATGAAACTGACAGAGAGAAGCTGTTTAAAACCTCTCTTTCCACTGTCTTCAGTCCTAAGAACACTAAACTGTAACTTTAATAAGGTCATGTACTCAGTAGTATACTCTTATTTAAATGAAAATGTTTGACCTGTGTGCAGAAAGAAGCTTGTGAATTTTGGGTAACCTCTAGGTGTAGAAAATTTAGTAGTAATATTTTTTGCTGCTTTAATCCCTGTTAAATACTCTGWCTCTAGAAGATGAGGAGGAGAACGAGGAAGTTCTACTGAAGCAGCTCCTGAAACTGTCAACCTGCTGACTGAGAGCATCTGTAGTAAACTTTGTCTACAGAACAGTGGAGCCTGCAGAAAWTTTTTTCTGGAGGGGRCATGGGGGGCCCACTGAAAAACCAGGGGTGGCACACCAAAACTAATATCTATYACAGAAAATTTATGATGCGTTTGTAAAAAATGACAAATTGGAAACTATGGCAATAWAAAGCTATGGATTTTGCCAACAGATGTTCGGTTTGTAATTTCACAGACAATATCACTGATTTTATGACATTCAGAGACAAAAAACAAGAATGAATATTTGTAATGTTGGGGGGGCCCATTGGC